AATTTTCTTTGTAACTTGTAATTTTTCTTTTTAAACTTGATAATGTAACTTGAAATTAGGTTATAAAACTTGAAATTTCTTGGATGTTTAGGCCATGACAAATTGGATTACATATTTGTGACTTGATAAACAATGTACCAAATTTCCACTTGTTATGTTTGAACCTAATCCAACCTTTCACTTTTTCGAACTTCGCTTGAGTTGTCTTGAGTAGTATGTTGAAACAAATTCAACCTTTCCATTTTTTCAAATCATGAATGCCTTAATCTTATGATAAAGTGATGACGTAATTTGAAGTTTGGCATAAAAGTCTTGAATGATTCTCTTGTAGTATTTGTTTCTTTGAATCCAAATAGTCAAAATGGAAACTTTGATGACTACTTCAAATTATCTTCAACTCAATAAAACCTCCCTTGAGAATCATGAAGGATGCAGGGCTGTGCGAAAACGAATGGGTTCAGACTCGACTTGACCAATTAAACTTGATTGATGAGAAGAGACTCACGGCTGTCTGTCATGGTCAGATGTACCAAAAGCGTATGATCAATGCTTTTAACAAGAAGGTCAGACGTCAGGTATATCAGGCTGGTGACCTGGTAATTAAGCGCATTTTACTGCCACAAGGTGATCCTAGGGGTAAATGGACTCCCACATACGAATGGCCGTTTGTAATCAAGAACATATTTTTGGTGGGGCCATGATCTTAACTACTATGGATGGTGACGACCTTCTGCACCCTGTAAATGCAGACATAGTTAAAAGATACTATGCATAAACCAAGACTCGTTAGGTCGACTGGCCTAGGCAAAAATTAGGGCATCCCAGCGAACCAAAATGGTTCGGGAAAAAATTAGGGATATACATAAAAATCTGTACACCCGGCAAGTCGAAAACCTGAAAAGGCGGCTTGGGAAAAAAAGGGTATCTCGGTGGACTGAAATTCCGAAAGGGCGGTCCAGGAAAAAGTTAGGGATTTAAAGCGTATAACTATGTCCCATTGGATCACCTTACAGCCAATCTTCAGTATCAACTATCGAGCTCAAATGGTACTAATCAATCCAGTCAGCTTTAGACAAGCAATGAAAGAGATGAGATGCTCAAAGACATGAAGGCAATAGCAGAATTGGAACTCAATGGGATTATTTCACATAGCTGTTTTTCTTTGCATACTATTTTTGTATAGTTTCCATTCTTACGACGACATTCTCTTGCTAGGATTCGTTTCCTTGTACAAAAACGCTTATTCAAGTTAATACAAAGATATCACTTTGAAAGTGTGAAACTTCTGTTTTTTATTTTTCTGTTTTGTGTGCGAAGACGTCCAGTGATTATTTTTGAACATATGCATTTGAACGTGATTACTGCTTACAAATATACACTTAAAAACAGAAAGACAGTTGCTAATGACTTTAAGAAACGGGACAATATCAAAAGGCCATCCACAAAATCCCCGCAGATATTTCCTCCAGCAGATACAGAGGCAGAGACATCCTACTACAAGGCCACTGCCATATTCTCAGTATGCAACCTAATGGTGCCAGGTTCTCATATCCCCGTCGGAGCAAGAATCTTCAAATTACTGCTTCAACAAAAGATCCCCCAGTGAATTCGCCAAGCTTCTCAGGATTCCTCAGCAGGATTCCAACAAAATCCCCAGTCAGTGCACAAAGTTTTCCTTCCCCAACAGAGTTTATTTCTCTAACAAATCGAAGATCATCTCCCAGCATTTCAACTTCAACAAATATTTGAAGACCTACATTCTTCATTCCCAACAATAATTAGGGATTTATTTTCCTTGGTTTAACAGCACTGCAATGGAACAGCTGACACGCTCATACGTTGCATTCATACATCATTCTACAAACATCATAGCATATGTAGCACAAATGCGTATATCCCAAATCTCATTTATTTTGAGAGCATCATGCAATTTATACATCATGACATAGCATGAAACTGACTTTACCTTTCCAGGTTGAGTTTGCAGAAAGACAAACGTTGTCAACCTATACAACAGGTCAAAGATTAACGTCCGAAACCAGATGGGGAAGCTATCCATGTGACCAGTATTGCCGAGTTCCAGATTAATACCTGTAGCAAGACAGGAGAACTATCTATGGATGACCGATTGTAGATTAATACCTGTAACAAGCCAGAAAAACTATCTACATGAGGAGATTGAAGATTAATACATGTAACAAGCCAGGAAAACTATCTTTCTTTCTCAGGTAACAAATTAATACCTAAAATCAGGCAGGACAACTATCTCAACGATTGACAATTTTCAAGTTCAAGATTAATACCTGTAACAAGCTAGGAGAACTATTTGTGGATGACCAATTATGGATTAACACCTATAACCAGCCAGGAGAACTATCTACATAAGGAGATTTAAGATTAATACCTGTAACAAGTCAAGAAAACTATCTTTCTTTCTCAGGTCAGAGATTAATACATGTAACAAGCCAGGACAACTATCTCAGCGACCGATAATTTTCAAGTTCCAGATTAATACTTGTAACTAGCCAGGAGAACTATATGTTGATGACCGATTATATATTAATACCTGTAACAAGCCAGGAAAACTATCTACATGAGGAGATTGAAGATTAATACCTGTAACAAGCCAGGAAAACTATCTTTCTTTTTCAGTTCCAGATTAATATCTGAAACCAGCCAGGACAACTATCTGCGAACAAATGATTTATAGATTAACACCTGAAACCAGATAGGAAAACTATCTATATGACCAGACGAAGCAATATTACACGGGTTTCTTCTCATGATCTCCAGATGCAGTCTAACACGGACTCGTCCTGAAGTAATCTTACACAGGTTCCTTCTCAACTTTCCAGATTCAGTCTAACACTGACTCATCCCGAAGAAATCTTACACAGGTTACTACTCATCATCCAGGTGCAGTCTAACACGAACTCATCCTGAAGCAATCCCACACTGGCTTCTTCTCATATATCTTCGGATTCAGACTAACACAGACTCATCCTGAAACAATCCTACACATGCTATTTTTATTACATCTTCAGGTAAGGGTTAATTCCATTATCCCCAGCAAGTTACTATGAAGCCCGAACTTCAACCAGAAAACAACAAACTTTCACCTCTCCAGAGATAACCCTTCAGCAGAGCCTTGGAAAACTGAAGTTCCTAGACTCTATTCCCCACAGAGTTTTCTCAAGCAGGATAATAACAGAAATCAACCTTCCCCAGCAGACTCCTCCTCAGACAGCAGGAACAGGAACCCCCAAAGGGACCATTTATAAAGTCAACATCTACTTTGGATGGCATCTTTAAGCCCATCTCTGATGACTCTTTGTCATCTTCTCCAAATGGCATTTATAATCTCATTCCCGATATCATCAACTGACAGTTTTACTTCATGCGAGTGTAAATTTCTGGGCAATCTAGTGTTCAATCCTTTTCCACCTTCAGATCACGAAAGGCGGGCAAACCAATCTAAATCCTCAGGTTTAAGAAGATTGAACAGGGGCAGCTGTTGTACCCCAAAATTTCCTCTCCCATTTTTACTCAAGACATGCTCATTGAGGTTTCCAATTGCTCAAGGATGACCAAGAAGTGACCAGACAAATTCTCCTCCTAAGCAATGAACCTCTAACTAGGGTTTCACTTTTCATCAAGATGTGTGAGCTCCAAAGGTCTCTAATATTTTCCATTGTCCTAATATGCCTTCAAGGTTGTCCATGACAAATTTCATGCCTTCCACTACAAGTTTGCTCAGTCAATTGCTCAAATGCTTGAAAATCAATTGTACTAGGTCAAAAGTCAATTGTAGCCCATGTACAGTCAAACTTCAAGATTTTTGGTCAACATCAACATTTTGAGATGATGTCCATCATTTGATCAAGGGTTGATCATGATTCCTCAAGAAATGTCCCTAATTCATCAAAAGTAAAAAATTGCTTAATTAGGGTTTCTATATGAAAAATCAACTGAACTTTGACCAGGCATAACTGTCACATACTTCATCCATTTTTCTCCAACCAAAGCTCATTTTAAAGAGACTATCATTCCCTACAACTTTTCTTCTGTCCTCAAGTTCAAGAGGTGCACCATTTGAAAGATACAAGCTCATACATTATAACTAATTTCAAACTAAAAAAAAAATATGACAGGAGCAACCATAATTTAGAGAAGAAGACGAGTTGTAGAAGAAGAACATGAATTGTAGAAGATAATATTTCTCACCTTTTTCACATTAAACTATGTCTGATTTACTAATATAGCATAAGTTTGCCCAACAATCATTTAAAAAAATGAAAAAAAATATTTAAAAAAATGTCAAACAACATGTCACATAAAGAATTGGAGTCTATCATTTCTTTCAAAGATTTAAAATAACTAAAATAAAATTGATTTTAAAAACTTTTTTATAGAAAATAAACCGAAATTCGCCTATATAACAAAAAGAAATAATATTAACCCTTAAAATAAATAAAAACAAAAAACACATCAAAAGATTTGAATCAAAACTCTCGCCATCGGCCAAATTTGAAAGTGAGAAGAGTATAATTTTGTTGCACAGCAGTCTCCTGCTTTGTTCATTCTTACATGTATCATTTGGAGTTGCCCACGTTGCTCATTAACTAGTTTGACTCACGTGCCTAAATTAAACAATACAAAATTACCCTTTTCATTTTACCCCCCCCAAAAAAAAAAATTCTACTAGTGATTTTAATGTAGGCGTTAGCTCCATCTTTTAATACAACAAGATGATTAAAAATATTCAAAAACATCCTCTATGGACTTACTTTTAACCACATCCAAATAAGTACTATCTATAGTTTTTTAATTCCATTGAATCATCACTCTCTCAATCTTTTTGGTCTCTTTGTTTCCTATGAGTATATAAATAACCCAAACCTCCAAATATCTCCACTCAATCTTTAAAACTCACAATTAGTAGTATTTCACTATAAAAGGAAAAAACATTATACACACACAAAATTTGTTTTCATCCAAAAATGGATTTTGATTCTCATCTCTTTCAAAACCAAAACCAAAACCTTCTATACTTTCCTCAAAATTCCTACTTTAATAATTTCTCTTGGGAATTAGAAAATTTCGATAATTTCTTCATCGAAGACATCAACTTCAACAACCAATCACAAACACAAACACAAACACACACAAATGAATCAATATCTTCATCACTATCATCCACCGAGTCCAACTCTTTGGTGTCCGTACTAAGCAATGAGTCTATAGAAGTCTCATCCAATACAACTTATACACAACTGATCAAAGAAACACAAACATCATCACCATCACCACTACCACTACCACCACCGCAGATTAAAGAAAGTAATAAAAGGACGTTTAGAGGAGTAAGAACAAGACCGTGGGGAAAATTCGCGGCCGAGATAAGAGATTCAACAAGAAAAGGTGTTAGAGTATGGATTGGAACGTTTGACACGGCCGAAGCGGCCGCGTTAGCTTATGATCAAGCAGCTTTTTCAACAAGAGGTTCATTGGCAGTGTTGAATTTTCCGGAAGAAGTTGTTAGAGAATCACTTAAAGAAATGAGTAGAAATTCTAAGCCTTTGGAAGAAGGTACTTCACCGGTATTGGCACTCAAGAGAAAACACATCATAAGGAAAAAGTCCAATAAGGTTAGTAAAAAGAAAATCAAAAGTGAACAACAAATTCAGATTCAAAAAGAAACCAAAAATGCAAATGTTAATTCACAAAATGTCTTTGTGTTTGAGGATTTGGGTGCTGAATATCTGGAGCAACTATTGAGCTTGACTTCTTAGTTTTTTTTTTTTTTTTTTTTTTTTTGTCTAGATTCATAATTTTTGGAATTTTTCATCAACTTGGTATTTCTTAAATTCATGATGATGACAAGATAAAGGTTCCATAGGATATTCCTCCTCATCTTTTATCGTCATCATCATCACTTCACTACTTGAATTTTTATTTTATACCGTTGTTGTTCTGTAAAGGAAAAGAAAACTTTACAAAGTATGTAATTACATATATTTTTCTGAAAAAAAAATTATATATTGCATACATTAATTTGTATTCGTTATGAAATTATCGTATAATTAGTAATGTTATTTTCAAATTTGCACACCACTTCCTATTCAAATATACAAGTAAAAAAATATGGATGATATAACTTATAACTGTTTAGTTAAATTAAATGAATGTAAATTTATTGATTCAGTGTTTTATTTCTCACGATAATATTAAATTATTAATATTTATAAATTAATAATTTATATATATATATATATATATATATATATATATATATATATATATATATATATATATATATATATATATATATATATATATATATATATATATATATATATATATATATATATATATATATATATATATATATATATATATATATATATATATATATATATATATATATAAATAAATAAGTTGTTTATATTTATAACTCAATAATTTGTTTCCATATAAAATTATTTTGCATAATTAAATTTACGTTCTTACGATGTATTACATACAAATAGATGGAAATCAAACAACAAAATGACGTCGCTTTCCTTTGTGAATATCAAAATGAATAATCATATAAACTAATTCATTGTTTTAGGAGACAAACATTTCTATGCATTAGTTTGTGGGCTCTTTATAAAAGGTAGGTTGTCGTCGGTGTTAGAAAGCTAAAGTGTCTAATACAAATTATACAAAAGAATCAAATGTTGATTGTTTGAACACATTTTTTAATGTTTGATTATTTTATTTGAATGGTTTTGATGACTTCTTGTCAAATTCATAATTCATATCATATATCTAATTGTCTATTAATATATAATCTTTTAATACTAAATATGGTTTTTAAAAGCAACAAAAGTGTATGAGAGGTCTTTTAATGTTGAATACGAAATCAAACCGAAAATCTAATAGATAAAAAGCCATTCTTCATTGAAGTTCTTTTAAAAAAGGATCTCTATCAATTACGATCTCTTCAACTACTCTTCGCAACTCTTTATCAATCTAAGTAAATGTTTCCTTTCATGTAAATCATCAGACACATTCTTAGGAAAAAAAGTTTGGCAATACCCATACATTAACTCAACAGTCCTGTCAACTCTTTTCCATTTATAAGACTCCCATTTCAACTAACAACCTCTTCAGACAATTTCATCTCTAACATCGTTATTCTAATGTCCGAAGGGAACAATTCCATATCAAGTTTACTTCCATCACACGAAGCCAAAAGATCTTTGTCTTAGGAATATTCAATTAAAGGCTCAATCTTAAACATGTCTCTCAAATGATGTCTGTAATACGGTGAGAGAACTGACTTGGGATGTTTTGCATTTGATCGCAATTGTTGTAAATAGCAAGAGTCGCCACCGACTTTTCTTTTATCCAATAAAGGAAAGGGTGAAAAGAACAGGAAAGACCTTTGAGATTATTTTCTTGAGTTCGAGGGTAGATTATGAAAATGGAAGGTGTTAGAACCCTTTTCATCCATAATTATCTATGGGCTCTTAGTTGTTTGCTAGACCATTTGCTTTTGTTTGAAAGTGTGCTTTGTGGTGGGTTCTGAAAGTATTTTTGAAAAGCGCCTTCGTTTAGGCAAACTTCGTAATGGTTCTCGTTTCTATAAGAACGTATACAATGTGTTGGACTTTTGAAAATATTTCATGTTTTGAAAGTGTTTGGTGTGTGTTTGAAAGGATGTTTATTTTGAATATGAGCAAACAACTAAGAACGTTTATACCTACTCAAAAGTTTTTGTTCTTTTCTTTCTTCCTTAGATGTTGCTATCTTACCATTGATTGGTAAGAAGCCTTATCTTTGGATGTAAAAAGGGACGGGTGTGGGTCATCGTATGGTCATGATGAGAATATTGTGAGATATCTTAGCATTTTCTTGAGGGACTAAGATCATTTATAAGTCAACATTCGAAGCGTCATTGAGGGACTATGATCTTTTATTTTTTTTATTGTTTTTACTAAGACATCTCACATACATAACGTGATAATTTTTAGGCAACAGGTGGAGTTAACCCTAGGGGTGCATGTGTGAATATTGTGTTTGATTTGTATGCATTTAGTTTTTGATTAAGTATTGTCTAATTGTTGTTTTTATCTTCCCATATAAATCCTAATTACTAGCATTTATATGAAAGCAATCAATTGTGGAAAATAAATATCCTACGTTATTACAATCATTTGGGGATGTGGGGTACAAATTTACAAATGGGGATTGCAAGAAATTAAAGTCTTAATTATCTCTTACAACCATATTGAAATAACGTACAAGAATTGAAATGTAAAATAGATTCGTTTTGTTTTGATTAAGAGAAGAAATAAATTTACTTAAAAAAAAAATTTTTAGTCTTTTTTTGTTTTAAAGGAAATAAAAATAAAGTATGTGAATATAAAGTATTTTTGGTGTTTTTTATTTATGAAAATAAAGTGATGATAAAAATAATAAGAGGAAAAAGAATCAGAATCAGCGCATTGCTGAAAGGATAGAAATAAGGAGCAGAAATTCTGACTCTGGTGCGCTGCCAAATCAGAAAGAAAATGTTAGTAGAAATGGGGAAGGCCAGAAGTTCTGAATCCGGGTGCACTAAAGTTCAGGGGTTGCAGGAAATAAGGGAAAGCCTAGAAGTTATGATTTCTTGAGAGAGCCTAGAAGTTCTGATGCCACTGGAAACCTAGAAGTTCCAGTGTTACTGGAAGATTAGAAGCTCTGGTGATGGATCCGTGAGGTGTCAATGTTGTTAGATGGGAATATCTAGAAGTTCTGGTCCAGGATCACTGTTTTGACAATCAAATGAAGGGGGGTTTATCTAGAAGTTCTGATCCAAGGTTAGTGTTTAACAAATAATGGGGTAAAAAGTCATGAAGTAAACATAAAACAGTGTTTCTGGGGTTAGAACTCAAGACCCTTAACACTAAGGTCTTATGCGCTCACTCACTACCACTGGGGTGGCTATACATCCGGTATTAGAAACAAAAACATAAACATATATTACAAGGTAAGTTCTGATGATGAACCTCATCTTCTTCTCCACACCATCTAGAGCATCTGCAACTTAGTTATTTCTCCATAAAAAAATACAAACATAGCAGTTATGGCAGATTTCATCATGGTTTCAGAAATATAAAGCATCAGAACTGTAAATCAGAAGCAAACATGAATTTGGCTAATCCTAAATCTGAAACCTAATTTCCTCCAGAAGTTCTGATCTGAAATTCTCTCTGCTTAGGAAAAATACATGAAATTCATAAATATGTACATAATTAGAGTCATGATGTCTACATTGTATCTTTGGAATTGCAAGCCTAACAATGACTAAGCAATGAGATGAAAGTCAGAAGAAACTTACCTTGCAGCTGGAAATTGTTCTGTGAATTAGAGCCTGGTTCAGGTTGCTATGATGTTCTGATCAGCTTCCTCATGTTCTTAGAAAGCTGAAGCAACTCTTAGTTTGAGCATTGAATGATGGGAAAATTCTAGTGCAGTCAAGGTGCAAGATTTTGGTTTTTTTGAAACTGAGAGTGACGAATGCTGTTTTACAGTTTGAAAACAGAGGTTGGGAAAGCTTCTATGTGTATTCTAGAAACTGTATGGATGATTTGGTTCAAAAACACACAAGAAAAATTAAAGTTTTGAATGCAGAAATCAGAAAACTAGCAGGTTTTGTGTTTATGTTTGCAGTTTCAAGTTCTTGGGAAATTTCAGCAAGGTTTCAAGGATTTTTCTCAAATCTTCGACCTCCTTAACAGTTGCAATTGAAGTTTAATTTATAGACAAGGATTTAGGAGCTTGGAGAAGTCAAGAGTGCAACCATCATATGCTATGGCGCTGGCTTGTTCTTGAAGCAAGTTTGGACAAGTATGGTTCAAGGAAAAATAGAGTGGTTAGTAGCTTTAGCCGCGCCTAATCTGATTTTGTAAGCATGGTTTCTGGAAAAGTACCCTCAGAAGCAAAGTAAAGCATGGACCCAACATAAACTTTGTACAAAAGTTTGCTTTTCAAGGACAACAATGGTACTTCTATGCCACACGTGGGAAAATCTTTTGGATAAAGACTCAAAAGTAGGTGTGAGCATTAAATAATGATGAGATTTAACAAACCAGAAAACCTGCAACATGAGATTATGCATCATAGCTTGAAATTGGATCAGAAGTTCAGCATAAACATAACTTAGATTAAGAACAAATGTCTAACTTTTAATCTTTAAATCTTCCTGTTCTAGCATGATCTGAATGCGTTCTCAGACTTTTCTGAAAGCTTGTAACATGCTTTGTAGACCTTCTTTGAATTACTCTTGCAAACTCTGATTAAATCTACGTGAAAACTAGCCCAGAAGTTCTAACCAAATTCTGTCTTGGAAATGCCCAGAATTTACTGAGTGTTTCAGTTTCATGGACGTGACTTCAAAGATTTATAACTTGAAATTCCAACATTTCTAGGAGAAGTTCTGTTCTGCAATGTTTTAGATCTAGTTGAGATCTATAACTCTTGTGTCAGAAGTTCTTCCTGAATCATCTTGTATCATGATGAAAATCTTTCCAGAAGTTCAGAACTTATCATCTTTTCCTAACACTTAGAAAAATTTCTAAGTGCTTAGAATTTTGACTTTTCCAAAGTAATTTTGACTTTTGACTTTCTTGATGAAACAAACTTCATATTCTAACATGTCTTGATGAAATATGATTCTTGAAACTTGATTTTGATCCAAAAGTCAAAGTTTGACTTTTCAGCGTACATTTTGACCATTTTTCTCCTGTGCCAATTCCAAACC